AATCGGGCTGGAGAAGAAGAAAGAAAGAAAGAAAAAGGAGAAAAGAAAAGAAGTCATCCTTATCCAAATTCTCCTCTTTTAAGTCCCTCAAGTTTGGGAATGTTGGCTATTAGGCCCAAAACAATATTTTCTCACAATTTAGTCCGTAACTTACACTTAAATATTCCCGAAAATTTGGGATATTACACTCACCCCTCCTAAAAAGGAGTTTTGTCCCCAAAACTCAAATTGAGGACCATATCAAGTGGTGAATGGCTTTACCCAATCCGAGGCAAACAAATGCCTCACTCACTTTCTATGAACAGACATGGCCTACTACGCTTCCGTTGCGCCACAATGATATCAAATCACAACTAATCTTAAAAAGCAGAACACTAATCACTTAACAAGATTTGCCGTCAAATAAGCTACTAGAGGCTGGGGTAATACGGAAAGCACAAGGAATAGAAATAAATCCTGCCAAGGCCACAAAAGAAACAGTTGTGGGGTTACGCTTTGAACCCAACACAAGACGAGTTGACAAAGAATAGCATGGATTTAAAGACGAATACAACAAAACTTTGAACTCTATCAAAGACGGATAAGCATCCAATGGATATATGGATTATGAATGAACGAACAAGTACATGGATGCCTTATAAATTCTGCCACAAAACAAGGTCAACCAGAACCAAGATCATGTTTAACAAAGCAACTGAAATCAAGAGGCAAATTTTAGCAATTAACAAGAGTTAAAAGCTAGGACCATCAAAAGACATGTGAGAATCTCAAGAATTGCAACAGAATAAAATCAATGGAAAATATGAATGCTTGGAAGAATACTGGAACACAAGAGTGCAAGGTAGAATGCCTCAAAATTCAACAACAAAATGGCATTCACCAATAATCAAGATCAAATTTAACCAAGCAGTCAAAATTGAGAGACAAAAGTTAACCATGAAATAAACAATAGAATTCAAGGATTATGCCCACAAAAGAGATTTCAATAATGACAAACAGAACACGGATTCAAGAGCAAATACAATCAGGATGTCAAGATCTAGCACCTCAAGTACTAGAATTAATCAACAGAACAAAGAAATGACTGGGATCAAGATGCTTAGAAGATTCATGTCTTCCAATTAAAAGGGCAAACAAAAATCCAAGCAGCCAGATCAAAGAACCATTTCACTTGGAACAAAACTCTAGGGCATCAAGTATTTCAAGGACTACCCCTTTACCTCGTAGCTCATAGAGGCGAGCAGGTTTACAATCAAGTCATCCTAGACATCCTAGAGCCAAGTCAAAGCTAAGACATCCAGGATATAGAATTTAACACTTGCAAGAGACAAGAATGAGGATGCCTCATATAGATATTTTCTGATAATTGTCACCCCTCCTAAGAGGTGTCCATGAACAAAAATCAAAATCAAGAAGATCAACAGGTGTACTGACACAAGAACTAATAGAATATGCAGAATTGAGCAAGAGCAATATACAGAATTTGAGCAAGAACAGAGTCAGAACAAGAACGTTTTCAAGGACAACTCAAACTAGATTCCAAGAACAATGCAAGAATTAATTTCAAACAAGAATCAAGATAATGAGGATTCCAATAATCATTATCCATTTCTGGATTTCAGTTTCAAGAACAAGTACAGAGCAATATCAAGAAAGACTCAAGATGATTCAAGAGTTTCAAGCAATTTCCAAGTATCAAGAATGTAGAGATTGGCAACAATAGAGAGTTTAACTTTATGACAGCTTGCCAATCTTCACAAAAATATGGCAATTTCAATTGAATAATCACTGCTCTTGATTAACCAATACAGAAAAATGAGCCACATGAAAAGACCACGAAACTCCAAATGGAAAAAGTGAAACTTCCCTATAAGACTTTCAGAAGATAAGGAGCAACGGAATTACCAAGTTATCCAGCTCCTAAAACGCAGCTAGAAAACACACAACATTTGCTAAAATAGCTTGGAATCTCTTACAAAGTTGAGGGTTTACCCATCCTCCACTGGTCATGTGACAAACAGAACAAATTTCTCAATCAGCTATGCTGTAGAGACTAACAGGATCAATAACAAAAGAACTCTACAACTCCCCAGATTTCACAATTGTGGCAAAAGAGCACACAAAAATTCTATTCACGTAACAAGCCTAAACAAGTGCGGACAATCAGAAAATGACCAAGTTCAAAACAAGGTCTTAAGAACATAACAGGCAAGATCACTTTCACAACTTCACACAGAGTATGAAGGCAGGAAACAAGAACAATCAGATCACCATCTCATCAGAATGGATTAGAAAATTTAGGCAACACGAATCAAAATCGTCCCTTATATAACCCCATCACTTGTCTCACCACGGTTCTCAAATCCACTGGCTAGCCAAGTCCAAAACAAATCCTAGGTATTCAATTAAACCTAGGCTCGGATATCACTCAATCTGCTCTAATGCCACTCAATCTGGA